TCATGCCGCTGGCCGCCCTCGATGTCATCAGGGGTTGGCTGGTCCTTGAAAAGGCTGTCTCCTCAGAAGAAGACCGGAGACTGATCAAGGCAGCCACCAGGAATCGCCTGGCCTATAGTGAGATCAGAACTGCTCTGCTTGGATTATTTGAGGCTGGAGGAGGCCACGGTGGACATCGACAATCTCACATGCACCGCGCCTACTACCAGGACTATGAGGCTGAAGAGACCTTTGACCAGAACGCAGAGCACGAAGGCTACTATGCCTATGAACCCTACGGCCAAGACTCCACCTATGAGGACTATGGTGAATGGCCTGATGAAGACAACTTTTTGAGGCCAGCGAATGGGAGAATGGAGAGGAGTTCGATGAGGAACTTCTACGACTCCAACAAGAACAAGAAGAAAGGGAAAAGCACAAGAGCGAGCTTGAAGCCATGTTGGGAGAGACCGACAGGAACTTGATTGAAGCTCGCAAGGCAGTTGCAGCAGCTCATAAAGATCGCGGCTGGTTAGGAACCGTTCAGCAGAAGCAGCCTCGATCGACGAGTACATACCCTTGGAAAGGAAAGTCCAAGGGAAAGAACAAGACCTTTGGACCACCTCGACCAGTTCCCCATGAAGGGTCACTGGATGCAAGGTGGCAAGAGTGGAAAGGGCCGATCCTCCTTTGGAAGCTATGGTGGCTTCAAGGGCAAAAGCAAGAAAGGAAAAGGCAAGGGCTCATATGGTTCCAACTTCAACATGGGCATGATGGAAGTTGCTGATGACCTCGACGATGAGGGCATGTTTCCGATGATGATGACAGCAACTCCGGAAGTGAGAGCGCCCAGGGCCCAGAGATCCCAAGCTTCCTCCTCACCAATCTTTGGTCGACGCCGGCGCCACTGCAACAGCCGGTGGGAAGCAGCTGTGCAAGACCTGTGTAAAGCCTTGGTAGCATCACGACCAAACCTGGAAGTGACCGTGTTCGAAACGGCGAGGCCGTGGTTCCGCTTCGGCAATGGTCGCTGGGGAAGGGCACTCTACAAGGTTTCCCTCAAGGATGCCACCACAGGTATAACTATGTCAATATATGCTCTACCTGCAGTTGGTGTTCCGGTCCTCACTGGCATGAAGGAATTGCAAAATCTCCAATGTATCATCAACTGTACCACGGGAGCATGTGTTATTAGAGGTCAGCCCATGCAGTTGCAAAAGAACCACAAAGAGCACCTCATCATCGACTATAAGGAGCACATCTTCCCCGAAACCACAACTGGTCCACATCATACGGAGCCCAATGCGGTAAAGACCCCATCCTCTTGTTCCACATCGTCGAAACCTTCTCGGAGGGTGAGTTTTTCGGAAATCGAAGAGTGTCATGTCTTAGATATCTTCACTTTAGATTTCATGGATGACGACATGGAAATCATGACTTTGGAAGAGAGTGATTGTTTTTGCAATTTTGTGCCGGATGCTTCTCAACACTTGGCACGTCACTTGGGAGTGACGGATATGTCTCTGCAGCATCTCATGACCACAGCTGACGACCGACAGCAGTGCCCGAGCTCATCCCCTTCCTTCGAACCATGGCGGACTCATCCCTCAAGGAAGAGATCAGGAAGGCCGTGAGAGAAGTAGTTCAAGAAGAGATTTCGAGTGCCACCAAACTGGCAAAGGAGGAGATCAAGTCAACGGCGGCAAAAGCGAAGGGGAAAGCAAAGACCAAAACCGAGCTCGACTACACCCGAAAGGCTGGCATGGACCTGAGGGATCCAAGGGCAAAAGATCAGCAATGGCCATGCCTGGGGAGCCACCATCCTCAGAGTCATGGCAACAGGTTCGGCAGCTGGACAGTCAGAATGCAGCACCTGCGGACGTCGTCTGAGCTACATCCCGGCAACGAATGCACCGGCCCAAACGACCCATGTGGATTTGCCGCAGAATGTGACACTGGCCTTGGAACGACTTCGTACCGAAGGCTCGGAACCACAGCAAATCTCAGCCACACAGGTCAAGGCCATGACTACGATCGTTGCCAAGGAGTACCAGCTTCTGAAAACCCCGAAGTCCAAGAAGGGTTACAAGCCGAACGATCTCCCGCAGGAACCGTCAGCCGCCTCAGGAATGACCACGAAGCCGGAGGCCTACCCGATCCACTCGGACTCCGACTTCGAGAAGGTCGACGCGGGCTCGGAAGGAAAGAAGAAGAGGGAGAAGGGCACTGGAAGTCAGCAGTGACCAGTGCTGATGATGACGACCATCAGCCTCAATCGGAGGCTACACGGCAAAACCTTGTGAGAAGCACCACGGAATTCAACACGGGCACCTGTCTGGGTGCTCTGCAGGACTACACCAATCCTTCCCTTGTTTGGGAAGTCTGCTGTCGGGCAGACTCAGCACTGATGAATGCGGTCCACAAACAGAAACTTCAAGGGCATCGCAAAACTCTCGAGACCGGCTATGACATTGGCAAGCCGACTGATGTTTCCAGGATGATTCAAGAGGCCAAAGAACTATGTCCATCCATTGCCTGGTTCAACCTGGTTTGCACAGCGGTCACCTCCATCCAGAACCTCAATCAGAGAGACTGGAAACAAGTGGATAATCTTCGAAAGAAGAGACAGCGATGCCGAAGACAATTGCGAGGAGCGATTGCAATCATATGGGCAATCATCATTCATCATGGCTAGTGGAAACACCAGCAAGTTCTTCTTTGAGTGGCCAAGATGGGCAACAGCTGGATGGCGCTGACCCGAACTGCAGAACTTCATCAAAGAGTATAACAAGGAGTTCGGACGCCTCTACTTCACACAGATTGACGGCTGTATGCACGGGATGAAAAGTCCAGATGGCTACCACATCCAAAAGAGCTGGCTGATCCTCCACAATGACCCTGAGTTCCACGACAAGTGTGGAAACAAGTGTGATGGCCAACATCTACACCGACCTGGTGGAATGATTGGCATGGGAAGCAAGGCCGTCGCTGAAACAGCCGCCTATCCAACCACCATGGTCACAGCCATTGCACACCTTTGGAGATCTCAATGTCATCGAGGCCGACACGCTTCTCCCAAAGAGATGCATTTGCATCGAATGGATCCATTCAAGCTAAGCTTGTTGTCAGTAAGCTGCGCGCGAGCCAAGAGAGCGCGCGTGCAATGGCAACATCTTTCACCGAAGTGGTCGCAACATATTGGCAGACTTCAGCTCTGCCACCGCCGAGGTTGCAGGAAGCAGGACCACCTGCCCGAAAAGGCCAAGGAGAGCCCTTCTCGTCAAAAGCAAGGAGCCCGCACGGGGCAAGATGCAACGGCAACACGCCGATGTGTAAGCATGTTCGTGGCTTGTTTGGGGCCAGCCAGTCTACAGGGGGAAGGTTGAAAGGGCGCAAGACCTCTTTGCCTGTGCTTTGCAAGGGTTGCAATTTCAAGCTGGCGCAAAGCTCCCATTGCAATTGTGATGATTGCCCCATTCATTGCCAAATCTACCTGATGATATACTGCGCACTCTCCACGCTCTCTAATGCTTTCCCTTTATTGTTTCCTTGTACGCCTGCCGAACAGCTCGGGCCATCCGACTTGGAAGATTCAGTGACGCACCCGTCATTTCTAACAGCTCAGCCACAGTCAAAACCGCCTTCCCGACGCTCATCCTGCACACTGAGTGCTCCAGCCGCGGGAGACACTTTCAGTGAAGTGTTCACAAACACTTGTCAGAAGGCAAGGCCAATGGCAGTCCTGTCCAAAAGAATGGTGGAGCACTTGGCAAGGTGCAATGGTATTGTGCCGATGTGTATGCATGTGTGCGGCTTTCGTGGGACCGGCCAACTCACACGGGCAAGGTTGAAAAAGTGTGTCCGGTTTCTTCGCAACATCATTCGCACCGCTATATACAGTAGGTTTCAGATGTTTCAGCACCTTTGCATTGTATGACACCGTGCTTCAGTGGCTTTCTTGGGCTTTCGAGTGTCCCTATCTCAACCTGTCAGCTACTTTTGCGCATGATTGGGAAGGCGAGGAACGTGACACCGCAGTTCGCTGCGATGACTAACATCGTAGAACGCACCTCAAACTTGACCGAGAAGAAAGAGATTAGAAAAGGAGAAGAGAATAGCCTGTCCTAAAACCCACCCACAGGGACAACTCAAGCAGCTGAGGCAAACAATGTTATAGTAGCTGGCAGCTGGAATTCAGTAAGCAGGACTTGGCCAGGCATGACATCGATTCACATGATTTTGTTTCCAAACCGAGGGGAGGCTGCCATTCTTTTGGGAGGCAACAATACCTACCAAAGTTGATCAATTTTGTTGTTGTTGTGTGTATATAACTGTATGTATTTGCTCACCCCTCTTGAAGGAAAAGGGGGTTCGGGGTCGGGGTTGGAGTAGCATATGAATGCATATGTGGATATGCATGAGGCGTATATCCACGTACACACACACAGACATAAGTAGGCGGAACTTAGTTTTTCGTGTCTCAAACCTGACGCGTTTGCAGCGTATACTTGGGTCAATAAATACCTTTGGGGTGTTGTCAAAACTCCGTCGGAGCCTGACCAAGCACAGCCAACCGCCGCGCACCCAACCGAAGCACATAAAAACATCCAGCAACCAGCAGATACCCTGCAATTTTTCAACAGACAATGATGGCAAGAATCAATCTCACCTTGTCAAGATCCTTGAAGTACCAGCAACAAATTCATGAGCCCCTGCTTGCAAAGCAAAACAACTCCTCCCCAAACTGAGCTGACCATCAAATCGCACACTTTGGTATTGCTCAGGAAGAGGCGCACATGCATGATATGAACAGAAAACAACCCCAGCGTCCGTGCTGGAACAGATCGGAAAAAGGATCGCGGACCAGGGCACGGCATACGATCTGACCAAAAAAGCCAGTCTTTTATTGAAAGGGCTTCTAGCCAACATGGCTCGTGTAGTGCAACAGGGAGTGCAGATGTAGCATCTGGAAAAGCCACGTTTCTTGTTCTTAGGGATGATGCAACAAAGACTGCTGTCGTGGTGACCTCGCTTCTTTGAAGTCATTGGTTTTGGTCGTTTCCACCGTTGAACGACCCGGCAGCCATTGACGCCCGAAGCGCCCTGCTTGAGCTTCAGAAGATGTGGCCGCTCGGCAGCCGTCCACTTGGGATGGTGGGCCCAGGATTTAGGGAGTATTTGATGTAGGGAGTATTTCGCTAGATGACCCTATGGCCTGATCAAATTGAGCACTTTGCTTGCACACACTTGGATGTTGCAGACATGAGGCTTCAATCAGGTACATCAGATCATCCAGCGACTAAGTAGCTACATATATATATATATATAGATTAAAGGAATTAGATATAAATATACACGAGTTGCCGCGAAGTCTTTTGCTGATTCTTCAGGTGTGCCTGCAATCATGCTGAGGAAGAACCCTTCGCTGACAAGGTCACCAAGTCTCGTCAAACAGTCGAAGTTGTCAGATTCACTCCCTTTCAGAAGGCATCTACAAGCATATGTCATATGTATATCTAGTTTCTCTTTTTGTGTGCTTGAGAGTGGCCAACCACACAACCCACCAAGCCCTCAAAAAAGCATCATAAACCTATCTTGGAAGTGCCATGAGTCCCAGGGACGGTTGAGACTGCTACTGTGTTCAGACTGGCATCGTTCGAATTGCTCCAAACGGTTTGGTCTTTTCGGGCCCTTGGCTTCGTCGCCACTTCACCAGGCGAGCTTGCCGATGTACAGCGACGCCGAGCTGGGTCAAAAACCCGTGGAGCGGGGGGTGTTTTGCATGGTGAGGGCAGAGAGAGTCTTATGGGATGGGTAAGATGATACGAAGGCCGGTTTTCTTTTTTCCCCTCTTCGCCCTGCAAAGCTGATGAGATAGATGTCTTGAAGCCCTCCTGCGTTTTTTGCCCGTGAGCCTTTGTTATAGCTGTACCGTTGCTTGTTCTTTAGCTGAGCCACATCCCTGCTGCAACATGTCATCCGATGCCACGTTACCGGCCAGTTACCTATAGGGAGCATTGGGAGCATCCGTCCCGAGCAAAACGCCACGAGTTTCAGATGGTTCCTGTTAATATTCAAAGCGCATTTTCATACGTGCTCCTCCTTGCAGGAGCCGAACGAGGAGACGATTCAAAAGTTCAGCGAGGTCGAGGTCATGGCCCAACCCAAGGCGCAAACGGAAATCGGTTTGGTTTGCTCATTTGCATGGGCATATCCTTGAGCCCAACCACCCACCCAAGAAAGTGACAAGGTCCCCAGGTCGTGGAGGTGGCTGTCCCCTCAATGGGTTGAACCTTGTTTGCCAGAAATCAACTTGGACCCAAAAGCACCCCAGCCATTTCGGGGAGCCTTTCCTGCAACATTTGAAGTAAGCTGTTTTGGCATGTTGGGACACAGTTGCCGTGCCCCCAAAAAGAGAGATTGGTAGTTACCGCTCCCGCGCCTTGCTCAGGGCGTTTGAGATCCCAGGAGTCAGATCCATTGGCTCTTCCCAAACCTTCCATACCCAAGGGGTGGGTGTGTTTCTCGCCTCTTGCGGGGTGCGTGGGTGCTGTGTGTTCTGTCCTGGCTGGCGATGACGTTTGCGGAGCTGGCTGCCGGGCCTGAGCCATGCTCCACTGTCCCTGTCTGTCTCTCTGTCTGTCTGTCCGTCCGTCTGTCTGTTTGTCTGGGCAATGGGTGTTCAGGACAGGAATCGGATTGTTGAGAAGATTCATGGATTGAAATGCCCAGACTCTTTCTTCATCACGGCCGGACGAGCAAACCCCAGGGCCTGCGGGCTATTCACATCTTTACCTACCCTGTGGCAGCCGAATCAATTGCCTGCTTAGCGCAACAAGTTTCAGCTGCAAGGTTTGTGATTCTAGCATCAGGAGCATTTTTTGCCGTCAGGCTGCTCAGATCCAAGAAAGCAGAGAGGAAACCGAGGAGGAATCCATCGAGGAGGTGTGAAGCAGTCAAATCTGGCTCACAGTCGGAGTGAGTATGAAGCCTCCTTGAAAAATTGTATAGACATGTATAGAATATATTGTTTCCAATAGCTTCTTGTTGCTACTAGTAAGGCCCTTTGCTCCTAGTAGCGATGCACTTGTTCCTAGTAGCTTATTGTGTCTATGTATCAATCCTGTTGCGCAGTTAGCAGAGAAGAAGACATCAGCTGAGCGCCTTGGGCTAAAGACAGGTGGATTGACACCTTGTTATTTGCTGGCACGTAGTGACGTAGTGTATCACACGACGTCTGGCTGTGATCATACGTCCATCCTGACAAATTGAATTGTCACGAAAGCTAGCGTCAGTTAGCTGGAGTTGCTCTTGCTTTAGCAAGTGTATGGCTGAACAAATTTCCCACTGCTAGGCCCCCCCGGTGCGCGGGTTTCGACTCCCTCCTAATCCCCTAAACTGACTGTGTCTCAAGCCCTGTTGGAGAACTACATCTGGTCCAACGAGTTCACTCCGGTCGTCGTCATCAACGACCTCAGGGTACAACTGGTTCAACTCGCTGGCACTCCGGATTCGGAGCCAGCAGGGAACTAGCGTCAGTTCGTCAACTAAACTTAAAGATTTGTCAGACATCTCAGGTTTCCTCCGTGGTCTTTGTGGAAATGCTTGGAAGTAATGACCTTGACAGATTTGTGATGAGGCCTTTACACACATCCAAGAAGTTGTTCCCGCCAACAGTGCAACCCCTAGTGAAACTGCAAGGGAATTTCGTTTGCCACGCGCCGACCTCTTGAAGTGACGATGATGTGGAAAGTCTTGAGTGAAAGATTGTAGGGTGTTAGCTCCTTGATGCAAGCGTGTTGGGTGTTACCCCGTCAGAATCAATCAATCCGTCAACTTCTCATGGAAGCATCCCAACACAGTTAGCCAGTCCAGTGCCAAAGTGCACCTCATGTTTGCGTCTCCAGCTGTTCCGTGCGTCCGTGTTCGTCGATCATAGGAGAAAAGTACACCACCTGGTCAGGAGATAGGGGTCCAATCAAACCAGGTACTGTGTGAAATTTAGCCACCGCTTTCTCGTGCCGTTCCCCCCAAAAGGGACACGCAGCTTTTGCATCATGCCATCCCTTTTGCCTTCTTTCCCTCCTTTCTCCCCTGGCCATGCCAGCTTCCCTGGCTGACAAGTGTGGTTTGGCATTCTTCCATCCAGAGGAATATTGCCGCGGAGATGGAGAAGGTGGAGAGAACGGCTCAGAAGGCGCTTGAAGCACAGAAAGAAAACGCCAAGGCGTTGCAGGCAATGGAGCGGGTACACGAAGAATACATGACAAAAATGAGGGAGCAGCAACAGTTAGCAGAAAGCACCAACAAGGAGTTGCAAGATATGAAGAAGGCGTACGAAGATAAGATTAAGAAGATACAGGAGGAACAAGAGAAGGTGAGCGTAGACGCAGCAAACACCAAGAAAGCTTTGCAGGATATGGAGAAGGTACACGAAAATAAAATGAAGGACCAGCAAGTGACCAACACGAAAATATGGGAGAGCATGAAAGACATGTCAAAAGCACTGCAGGATGAGAAAGTCAAGAATCGTGTGATGGAGAGGTATGTTGAGAATGACAAACAGAACAAGGCAGAAGAAAAACTCCAAGCTCAGAAAGCCAAGAACAAAGCCGAGGAGAAAGAGCGGCAATTGAAGCACAAGCCTCCTGAGAGTGTTTATACAGCAGCCTTGATCACGTGGTTATGCTTGAAGTGCCCCAAATGCCAAAAGCACTCCATTCTGAGCTTCTTCGGAGTTGAGGTCTCGAGCTTCCTTGTTGCCGGTTTGAGCGTAGCAGCTCAATCCTTTGTGATCTACTACTTGTGGTACGACCTGGAGCAGCGCCTCGAGTGGGGCCAGGACCCAACATACAAGGGCGAAAGGGCCATTGCCCCTTGCTCCTTACACCTCAATCTCACCTTACAATTGATTGGTGCTGGCGCGTTTGTTGGCATCATGCTGGCCGACCTGGAGGAAAGTCTCATGATGTTCTGGTGGCTCTACCAGAAAAATGTTCTTCATGAATCCGACGATCCAGGATATGAAACCGGTGGGAAGAATGGCCTCAAGGTTGAGGGGGAGGAAGTGGTGGAATTCAGCATGAGTCGACGCCGGAGGATTTTGGGTGCCATTTTCTGTGTGCTGCCCAAGTTCGTGATCACCGTATGTCTCACTATCGTTGGAACCCGGTTTGTGGTCCTGGCTGACGACAATGCCGAACTACTCCTGAATTGTGTGGCCATGATCTTTGTGATTGACTTCGACGACCTGGCACACAAGAGGCGGGCCCTTCCCCCTTTCCCCCAGAGTTTTCCAGTTACTTGATAGCAGAGTCTGTCGTGGCAGTATTTCGTTACGTTTGAGGCTGTCTCCAATCCGCATGAAGAATCTTGTGAAGCACTTGCCAGAGGCTGTTGCCAAGCAGGGTGGCTGCTTGCAGTACGTTGACAATTACCTGGGGGGCCTGTTTAAGGGTACTCTGTGGGTAGGGAGTGTTGTGTCTTTGCGCTTTAGCCTTTACTGTGGATATGGTTGTTGTTGGCCCTCGACAGATGAAGATAGATAGTCGTAGAACCGTAGGAATCGCAGGAATTGGTGGCCTGAGAGGCAAAGGCTTCTTGAGCTGTGAGGTTTTGCCGAAGGCAAAGGCATCCCCCACTGCAGGGTGCTGTGTAATCCTGCTTTCTGGCACCACTTCATCTGGATCACCAACATGATTTAACTTCACCATTTGGATGTGGGGATGTGGGAGATGGACCCACGGCAGACTCCAAAGTGAGTTGCTGATGGATTTCCTTAGTTGAAGTTTGGAAGTGTTCCTGGCAGCCGGACGGCGCTTCGCATTTGATCCAGTAACCCAATATGGGAGACTTTCGCTGGGCCTGAAGGGTGTTTGTGCTTTAACATGCTCGAATGCAGCAAAAGATCCGGGTGTTTGGACTTATTTTCTGTTCGATGTTTCTTCATGTGTTTGTTCGATTCATCGGATTCGTTCCCTCCGCGGCCTTGGAGCAGGCCTGTCTCAAAGCGTCCAAGAGTCCAAACCAGTTTTGGATACCTGCGAAGCATGCAACTTGTCAGACTGCAACCCCTGCGGTCAACAGGTGGAGGCTTTGTGCTTGAGAGCGACTAGTAGCAGGATAGTTTGGAAGGTGCCATCGGGGAATGGCTTGCTATGCAGACGGGCCGGAGGTTTCAGGCTCAAATCCTACCTGTTCTGTAGTGTGTTGAATTTCTTGTTGCGAGTACGGGCGTCAGCAATGCCAGCAATGCTGTCCTTGTTCTTCATCAGCTTCATGCAGTGCGCCTTGACAACCAGGGAGTCAGAGTCCACAGGTCACAGTGCGCTTGAGAAAGAGGGCGAAGCACGCACGTCTTGTTCTGAGAGAGTGGACACGGTGATGAATGGACCCTACGGCACATGGTTCGGTCGCAAGATCCATTCTTTATCCTTGAACGATCCGTTTGAGTTTGTCTTTGCTGCTCAAGACCACGGTTTGACTGAAGAGAAATTTTTGACGACAGTCAAGAGTTCAATGCTTTTTCACTGCAGATTCTTTCGGTCCAAAAAGACCTGCGCTGGGGTCCGCAATGCTCGCTTCCAGGAACCGCTTTTTCCTGCCAAGATCAGCCCTCGAGATCCCAACTGCTTCAAAACGCTGGATTCTTATGCCAATGATCCCGCGCAGAAGGAGAGATGCGCCATTGTGAAGTGCTACCGCGAGCTTGTGGAGAAGAATTGTGCTGACGTGGTGCTTGGTGGTGGACAGCTTGCGAGTTTGAAGTCCCACTGTATCAAATAGAATGTGTTCTGTCGAGTGCTGTTGAATTCCAGCGAATAGCATCGCAGGTAAAATGAGTTGCCATGACTGCTACTTTGGATGTGTGTGTGCGCAGAGTGGATGAATCAACAGATATATGATATATAGTTGTTCTGAGCCTTCTCGCCAAATCTAACCCATCGGAGTTTGGTCCGAGCATGCCTCATAACTAGGCAAGAAATCATGAATTAGTCTTATGCAGCTGAACTCACCAATGCAAGCAACTTCAAGATTTCGCCAACGTGGCTACCAATGTTGCCATGGCAAAGTCACCATGGACGTCCAATCTTTGGCGAGGTGCCTTTGGCTGGCAATTTCTTTGGCCTCCAGCGGTCCAAATCCTGGAATTGCTGCAGGTGCACGCAGCTGCAGAAGTTGTGAGGCAAGAGATGTTGGGTTTCAGCAGGGTGAGCAGAGAAGTCCGTGGGGCTGGCTCAAGGCTGCCAGAGGCCAGATTGGGCGCATCGGATGGTGCTGGTAGAGTGGCAAGGTGCTTGGATGTTATACAGGGGGCCCCATGCTTTGTCGTTTTTATCCAGGAGGGCGGTCATGCTTTGACTCAGCAGTAAAACTTCTGAGCTACACCTGCTTAGGCCAAGGGGGTTCTTATCAACTCTATCCAGCAAAAAAAGTAGAATTCGCCATGTCTCTCCTGCCCTGCCTGTGTGAAGCTCCTGGCTCAGCATAAGCAGCAACGAAGCACTATGAAACTTGAAGCACTTTTTGTATTGGAGCTTCTCAATTTGGGACAGTATGACCGAGGGTTTGGTCTTGTCTTTGACCAGCGCTTTTGGCTCAAAGCAGCTATGATAATGGAGTGCGGTCTAAGCTGTAGCTCGATCGCAACTCCAGACACCAACGAATCCTGAGCGAACCAGTTTGGTTGCACAGTGTTTGTGAATTCAGCAAATCCTTTGTTGCTGTTAGTTGCAGGTTGCAACCCTCTCTTTCAAGGTTGCTTGACTTGTCCGTTCCTCTCGAGGCAGCAGGGCTTTTCATGCCTGAGCCCTCAAAGAGGGCCCACCGGCATTTCTGCAGCAGAGCTCCTGAATGCAGGCAGGCACATCATATTTTGCTCGCATTGCACTTCAGCTGTTCCACAAACACCGACATGTGAGCCAGGTTGGAGTTGCCCTTTCTCCACGCAAAATCACTCGTTTTGCCGACTTTGTAGCTCGATTTCAGACTTGACTAAACGCCCACAGAACAGACTGTACAATTGTGTGGGCCGCGCCTGGATGAGAATGAGGTTTTTCCACCGCTGGAATCAGATCACAGAGACATGGAGGCTCGTTGCTTGTATGCTCCGTACTGCCACCCTGCAAGCACGCAAGTACTTTGTCCTAGTTGTTAGTCCTAGCAAATGTCAGTCCCAAAACGCCGCCTAGAGGCAATTGAAAGAACCGAAGTTACGCATATCAATATTCCCGAGCACCTATTTTAAGAATACTACCCAAAACTAATGCCGGAAAATACTAAAATTAAAATGGAGTCTGCATTAGTTTGGATTTTATATTGCCGCAGGGCAATTTTGGGGGGGTCTTAAATAGGGAAAGCTCTTGGATTTGGAGGCTTTTTCCGTGTGCGGTTTAATATGAGGATTTATATGAAATTGTTCTAGGCAACCTTTCGGTTTTGAAACTCTTCCCAGGGAAGCATGGCAATTTGGGTGCCTCCGATTACTAAAGGCCGACGTTTTGCGACCCTCGTTTGGTTTTAGTTGGGTTTTAAGTTTTAATTGTGCCTTTCCAAGTCTTTTCGTTATTCTGAGGAACACTTAGAAAGCAAAGAAGCAATTTTTTAGAAAGGAGTCTTACAAAGGGAAGAGGAAGACCATTCGACTTGCGGTTTTAAAATAAATTGGGAGCGAGTTTGATATAGGATCATTGGATTTTACAACATAAAGTGTCTCAATTTTCTGTTTTGAAGCTTTTCCCAGGCGCCCTGGCAGATTCTCCAAAAGGGGGACACCTGTAAAAAGAAAAAACAACGACTAAAACTCGACCTTGGAGCTTTTATTACAGGGGGGGCCGAGGAGGGGCGGGGCGGGAGCCATGTATATATATATATATGTCCACGAGCCCATATATATATATAGAACAACTGTAGGTGGAAGGAAATTATGTTGTTGCACTTCTGTTTTTATTGTTGCATACTGCTATGACTCTTGACTATACATTCGTTAAAACAGTTTTTGTTGTGGGTGCTGGGTGGGTGGGGACACTGTAGTTGCCTTTGCGATGATTCTTGACACCATCCTCGGAGGCCACCGAGGCGACTTCAATGCCAAGTGTTCAGGCCAGAAGGCGCGAATTCTTGCAGCATGTTTTCATCGCCAGATGCAATGGCGCACCGTGATTAGGCTTGCTCGAGCTGTGGCACACCGTTTGCCAGTGCTTAGCTGGCTGCCTGCGTACAACTTTCGCAGAGAATCCTGGCAAATCATCAGCTACTAGCACTGTGCATGGCTGCATCACTTGGGAAGGCTGTGATGGATTTTGTGATGTTGATGTGGTGGCACCAAGGACTTTTACTATGATTTTGCCGGTGGTTCTACCATTGCTTTGATTTGCTTGGTGGCTTGCCTGTGATTGGCAAGACCCAATTCAGTCACGAACCTGCTTAGGTGCAAACCCTCGCACATGCAGCTATTGCAACTACGAAGGTCATCCAAGGACTCGAACAAGCTGTGCATGGAAATGTCCGAGAGCCCAGTTACCAAGTTGCCCTCAAGGACCCTACTGTGCTTTTGTCCCACCATTGGTCTATGCCATGCTGGGCACCTCACCACATGCCTCGATCTCTTCAGGTGTGGTTTGCAACACCTTTTCTGTCACGTTCCACTGCTTGCTTCCATATATCCAATCCTATCCCTCTTTCTGATGCTTGGCAGGTGCAATTGCAGCGATTCTCTTGGCTGAAGCTCGGAGGAATTGAGCCGTGAGGCAGTAAGGGGGGGCGGCCGGACCCTGATACAGACATTTTATAATGAAATCCACCCGCAGGCCTTCCAGACATGCTGAACAGCATGCATGTGCTCCTACCCAGCTAGCAGCCAATTTGTTCTTCACAAGATTCGTATGAGGGCAGTGTCCTTCATCATAATGGGATTGGCGTCCAAAGGTGTCCACTGTGCTGTCAAAAGATGCTGACTGATGCGTTCCAAGGATCAGCTTCAATTGTGGCACGATGAAGACGAGCGGACTGAGCTGGCATCACTTCTCGCCTTAATCAGTGGAGGCCCCCACGTGAATTCAGATGTGCTGCTCCTTTGCTTGTTGTCCAGCCTTGCCCGTTTTCACAGGTTGGCTGGTAGCCTTGGGTTTGTGCAGGGCAGCTTTTCTTGTGCGCTTCCTATCCCGGTCACTGATCAGTGGCTTTGTGACTGGTGGTGCTGTGCCCTGGTTCAATGACCTTTTGTCAAAGATGCTCTCTCCTTGGAGCAGAATTTCTTGGTGTTGCTATCTGTTGCTTAGGTTCTCGTCCTCGTGGGGCAGTTGAAGAATCTGCTTGGCCTCCTGAATGCGAGACATGCCATCGGCACCTTGGCCTTCACATCCTTTTCTCATCATCTTCCTTCAGCAAATCATGCGTTCACATGCTCCTCTCCAAACTCACTCACCGAGTGACTGACTGGTGTGTCCAACTTGGAGCCGCCACATGCTCGCGCCTGAGGTTTTGTGGACCAGGTGCGAGCAATTTATGGCGCGTTGCCAGACACTCACATCCTCGGAGCTGTTTGGGGCGTGGCTCCCTGGCTCAACGGGATTTGAGTTCCAAATGCTGGAAAAACTCGACGCCAAATCCATTGGGTTTTAGGGCCGGGATCCATCATTGTGAGGCATCCGCAGGGCGGATTTGTTGGGTGAAGG